CAAAGTCATCGATAGAAATTTCCTGCGGCTTGTGCTTGCTGTGCTTGGCGGGTTATTTGGCTTTCCTCGACTGCCACCGCCCCTCTTCGGGGCCATTGTCAAAACAGCTATCGAGACACCCACGCACTTGCAATGCGATGTCTTATCCCCCCTGTTTGGTGGTCCAGAGCTTGACTCCGTGCGTTGGACGGTGAGCTTGATAGTTAGCAGGGCTTAGTCAGCACATTCAGGCCCATTGCAACCGACGACGATATGGCTTGGAAAGAATGTCACTAACAAACTGCTCCTTGTTAGGCAAAGTCATCTTTGCTTAATCGCTTCATATGGCGGATGGACGATCCTCTTCCCCGAAAACTCAAACGAACGGGGAGACTGCGGAAGAGGTCTCAAGTTCTGGGGTCAGCAGAGGCGCACGCAATGCTTGTATGTACTGTACTATTCCTCCGTCGCTGCTCTGTGGGATGCTGCCAGTGATTTCTGACCCGGATTCCCATTTAGTTTCGTTGCTTATGTCGCCCAAACCGAAGACGTGTTCTGACCGATCTGGAGCTTCCCCCAAGTCCTCGAGCGTCCATCGAGCCTTTCAGAGCCGAGATGCACTAGGTGCCTATATTAAGGCGCCGGAGTCGTCGCCAGGGATCATATATTATACGGAGGATTTCGTCGCGATAGCTGATCGCTACCCTAAATCTTCCGTTCACCTTCTTTTACTCCCTAGAGATCCATCAAAATATCGACTGCATCCGTTCGAGGCATTTGAAGATGCTGAATTCTTGGCCAAAGTGCAAGCGGAGACTCAGAAGCTACGTAAGATAGCAGCATCAGAACTGCGTCGTATCTATGGCAAATTCTCGGTGTTGGAGAATGCCCGTCTAGAAGCCATGGATGCCGATCCTCCTCCCGATGAACTCCCCATTGGAAGAGACTGGGAGCAGGAGATAATGTGCGGTGTTCATGCCCATCCGTCCATGAACCACCTCCACATTCACATCATTTCCAAGGACAGATATAGCCCGTGCCTTAAGCACAGAAAGCATTACAACAGTTTTGCTACACCATTTTTCGTCCCTATAAATGATATGCCCCTTGGCCCTCATGACCCGAGGAGGCATCCTGGAAGGGAAGGCTACCTGCAGCAAGATTTGAAATGCTGGAGATGCGGAGCCAATTTCGACAATAAATTTACAAAACTTAAAGACCACCTAAGCCAAGAGTTTGAAAGTTGGAAGTGCTCCTAATCTTCACAATATCAACCTTTTTTGAATATCCATAAGGCACTTCGGGAGTAAATTGCTAGATATACGCTGGCGATAGTAACTTCAACAGCGTTTCGGGACGAGTCAATGGGCGGCAATGTGCAGAGACTTCTAGAAGACCGAGACAAACACGTTCACCAGTGCAGATACGTTTCAGAACCTCCGAGACGAATCGATGAGGCGATTGCGTCGCTGGTGTACCGAGGGAAATGCGTGCCCACGTCGAGAGCAGGGATGGGCTAAGTGTCTCGCGTCAAACCGGTATAAATATTCAATTCATTGCACGATAACCGTCTCTAGTTCAGCAATTTTCAATTTTCGGAGGGCTCTCAGTTGTCCGCAAGGCCTGCTTGACTTTCCATGCACAAGCACTGTTGCTAAACAGAGATTGGGATTCTCATCAACCAGCCCATCACAGCTACAATCAGTTGCTACCGCTCGATTGGCGATATTTTGGACTCGTGCAGAATAAAGCCCTTTTGTTGATCAAAAGTAAAGCTTTCGTGTTTCCGTGGCTAGAATTACCGGGCGCTTTTTATAGACTGTTAGGGCGTCAACGAGGCATCGATAATTAGTTAACGCCCCCAAAAATGGAGGGATTTTTTTGACAGAATCTCTCAACATCTTTATACTTGACGCCACTTACTTATGGCCATGATCCCTGGTAGACGGACGTTCTGCCCCTGGAATCGTTTCAAACCATCTCTGTCTCCACGATTTGCTTCGTTCCAATTTCGATCCGCCATCAACCAGCTGTGTTCCCCTTGAGGAGCAAACCCTCAGTTATCGGCATATCGGCCAGAACAGTTTGCAGTGATGCCGCACCCAAAGCTCAACTTCCTACCAAGGAACCTACGGCGGCACTGCAGTTGGGTACAACACTGCTTAGCAATAAGGCTAAATATACAATCAATCGAATTCTCCAACGCAGGACAGCGCCAGTATTCTCCTGTGTTTATCTGGCAATGTAGGTAAGCTTTGATATGCCGGTATGTTGTCTTGCTGACCATATGTCTAATTAGTGCACAAAACGGGAAGAAATATGTTATGAAGAACATCTTTCATACTGAATTCGAGTATCAGTTGAGTTTACAAACACCATTGGCGGGTTGCTCCAATCTACGTGTTGTTACGGATACTATTCCTGAGCATCTTCTATTTGTCTATGAATACTTCACGGGGGACTTATTTGATCTGGTGGGAGAAGAGGGTGTTTCACTGGCGGCAAAGAAAACAATCTTGCGGGATGGTTTTACTGGACTGGCAGCCTTGCATGAAAATCGCATTTTAAATGGTGGTAAGAAATTTTCAGGATCTGTCATTTGACTCTTGCTAATTGTTTTTATCTTTCTTGATAAGACATCAAACCTAACAACATCTTTGTCGATTATGAGATCTCTGACGGTGTTGTCCATGTGAAAAGAACCCAGATTGGGGACCTTGAGATGGGCTCTGATTTACCACCTGGATTGAATGTACGTGGTGCCCTGTTGGGTAACCCAATGTGGCGCAGCCCTGAATCCCGTGCTGCTGCTCGTATCAATCTTCCCTCTGATGTCTTCTCTTATGGACTTGTTGTAAGTTTACCCATCTCATTGCTATGGAGCTGTGCATTCTGATGACGTACTATTCAAGTGCATTTTCACTGTATTGCGCCAGATCATTTTTCGGATTGACAAAGAAGGGTTAAGTGGAGCTGAGAGGGAAAGAATTATAGTGAAACGTCTGCTTTCATATTTTGGTGATGGCCCAGGGCTAGTTGGCTTTTTGGGATATCTGGATGACGAGTCTGCTCGGTGGCGCGACCTTGTATTGGCTGTGGCAGAGGAGTTCAATCCTGATGATGCGAGGCAACCCTTTGCCATGTGGAATGATGTGGATGAACTCTTTCGGGACCTTATTGTCAAGATGACGAACCTCGATCCCACACAGAGAATTACAGCCAAAGAAGCTCTGCAACATCCTTGGTTCCAAGATGTTTGACACTTATTTGACACAGTGCCCATTGTTCTAGCAGTGAGTACGGTGCCTGAAAGCTTGTTCCGTCATCGCAGTCAAATGTTGGATTTGATCCATCTATTCCCCTCGTGCATGGATTCATTCCACCTTCACTACCATCAGTGGAGCGCTTGTTGACATCAATTTTGAGTCCGTCGAGTCTCTGCCTACAATGACTTCAAGGCTTACTACATATCTACTTTAGCTGCTGTTTGACTGGAGAATTAAATTTATAATGTCTGGAGCGTTCATCTCATAGATAGTTCTTCCCCTTCCGATAGACAAACTAATCACACCAGCAGTAATCAATTCTCATTGAATGGTTCGCAAGAGTGATAATATAGGACCTTGTCTGTTCGATAGTTTTATTGAGAATTCTCGCGGCAACTGCACGATTTTGGACGAACCGTCACTAGAAGTTCTCATATCTAGAGTGGATTCGGCTGAGATTTGTATTCAAGTTTCATGCATCTGGCGTTTGACCGAGAAAGTAAATCTCGTAGCTTATCCTCCGTCAGGCGAGTGAGCATCCGTCTTTATCTCCTTAAAATCATAATAAGTTCATGGGCAGACCCAGGTGCCAAAATAGCCTGATCTCAGAGCAAGAGCACTGACATCTAGAGTCAAATTCTTTTTTCAAGAGTAGTTGGAGTGGTAGTTATGGATAGGTGAGTGGGCGCATGAGTCTTTTTATCTAATTGCTTGACTGATAGACTGGTTAATGAGCGAAGCATGCATCTCCTCCCAGCATCGTCACGAGACGCATCAACAACCCTCTTCGCTCCTAATCCGAATACGTCCCTTGTCTCAGACCCTATTCTCATTGAAAAGGTCACATCATGGGTTAAAGAGTACATGACTCACTATGACAGCTCCCACGATTTTGACCACGTCCAACGCGTCCTAGGTCTCGCCCGCCTCATTGCTTCCGTTCCACCGGTCGTTTCCTCCTTCCCGTCATCTCCGCCGCACTACAACCCCCTAGTCATCACGCTCTCCGCGCTCCTGCACGATGTCGGTGATAAGAAGTACCTCAAACCCGGCGAAAACCCTGATACCATGGTCTACGAGCTACTCGTGTCCCTCGGAGCACCCCATCGTCTAGCAGAGATGATTCAAACGGTCGTCAGCAACGTGTCGTTTTCGACGGAAACCAAGTCACCAGAGAGCCGAGACAAAGTGCAGAGGTTGGTGCACGAGATCCCGGAGCTGGGCGTGGTGCAGGATGCAGATCGCCTGGATGCGATTGGCGCCGTGGGTATTGGGCGCACGTTCACGTACGGTGGAGCGGCGGGCAAGGTGGGCCAAGAAGCCAGGGGAATGCGGGAGACTATCGAGCATTTTACGGACAAATTGGAACGGTTGGAGGGCTTAATGAAGACTACGGAGGGAAAGAGGCTGGCGGCTGACAGAACTCGGCGGCTCAAACTATTTAAAGAGTGGTGGGAGGAGGAGACGCAGGAGGCACAAGAGGGATTGAAGGCTGTGTGAAGATCCTAGTTTGATATCTTAATCATGAAAGTTGCAAAAGCCTGTGCAAAAGCCTGCGCATTTTACGTCCAATACGTCCAATACGTCCAATACGTCCAATACGTCCAATACGGAGTACCTAGGACAGAATCGGTTCGTGAGGACGCATATCCCCTCCCGTGCTAGATGCGGAGTTGATTTGGGAGTTTGTTCCAAGGTGAAGAGTCGACTTGTTCTTATCGGCTTCAATAAGGGCATTGACTACTTTATTGCCTACTTCTGAGCCAGTCGCCAGTGCCGCATTCCATGCCACAAGTTAGAGGCAGCAATTCAAGCAGAGCAAAAAAAAGTCCAGCACGACTCAACAAGATTCCAATGGAGCTGCTCAGTAAAACTTTCCAGTTGGGAGATGACGCTGCCGGAGAAACTGTAGAGCCGAAAGACTGGAGCCTACCTTACGCTAACTATAACTAACTATCAAGCTAGTGCGTGCGGGCATACCCGGGCTGCAAAGGGGACGAAGTTATGTGCACAAAAGGGGTCTCAAGGCGACTGGCAGATATTACTTGCAACTGATGGCATATTCATAAGAATACATTTGCTTATTATTACCATACAAACTATAGCATTTGGCAGTGCTCCTGGGTAGGCAGATTGCCATTGCCGCTCCTTTGGTCCTCCGGAGTTCTGTTCGACTTTCGGGAACGAGCTTAAATAAGCTTAAATCGGCTTCGGCTTGGCAAAGCAACACCCACGGTCCCAACGGTACCGATAACCCCATCATCTCAGTTGATATCAGCGAAAGAGACCATGGCATGGCTTGGGGAAAACTCATACAATCTGATTAACCTATAAAAAACTTAAGAACCTAAATAAAGCAAAAAAGGCACCACAAAAAGCCCAATTGATAAACCATATTCAGACCTAATCCAGTTTGCCCACCTCCATCCGTACCCCATGAACTCCTCTTTTTTTATGAAAAGAATTTTCGCCTTGTCGCCGTATATGCCGCCCCGTATGAGCTCCGTTGCCAATATAATGAAAAGAAGAAACCCCAACTGTAACAAAACGAGACATAGGAAACGGAAACGTTGCTCCGATAGCGTTCCGAGAAAAGTCTAAAAGTAAAAGCAGGCGGAGTTTTGGATCCAGCCTGCCGACCCACAATGCCGTGTCAAGATGTTAAAGTCGGGCCGAAAGAAGGGAAGTAGACTGCCGCTGGCAGGAACTGAAAGAGAGGTTCCACCGGGTGATTCTGTCTTTCAAGCCCGGTTCGACCAGTCCATGCACGAAAATCAAGGATAATGCCATATTTGCGCCGATTAGCGTGTAAACACCACCCCCTTGGCAACATAGTAAACCTGCGTGAAACCCGGGGAAGAAAATTGAATACAGGATCGTGAAATAAAGAGCGAAATGAGGGCTTTGGGCGAAGACGCCGCATTCAGCTCGTCAATTTCGTAGTTTCGTAATGCGTACCACAAGGAATCTTTAGCCAATCTCAATCGGCCATTGTTTGCGCGTAGCATGCTTGTCATCGCACGCCACTGCCAGAGTGAAACAGATTCAAGTACGTCGAGCCGCCGACGCGCGGTTATGAATGTGAAGGAGACGGTTCGCAGAGGGAACCCTGGGTTTGTTAGGAAGTTGGAAGCCGCTCAGGATTTCGCTTTCGACGAAACAAGAAGCGCGTTTGAATCGACGATCGGAGTACTTTTCATATATCGCAGGATGGTGCCTCTGCGGGATGTCGCAGCACTCAAGCATAAGTGAAACCAGGGGGTAGAGCTGAGAAGGAGTATAGTTCGAATAATAGACGTGAGTCGCACCCTACAGAACAGGTTAGGATTGCGTCCGGCGAACTAGGTCATTAGCAAGGGAAGAACATACCCAATCACCCTTTCTTAGCATTAGCCTCGCAAGACAGTGTGCGCCTGCCGCAAGAAAACTTGGAGGGCAGCCAATAAATCTCTCATCCATAATAGTTATCTCAAGGAAGTATTTGGCGAGAGTTCGAGTCTCTAGATCGTAATCATCTGCCTTGCTGATTCGGCGAAGAAAATTCATCGGGCCTGGCCATCCAAGCTCAAATTGAAGTAAGCTGAGCATGAAGCGTTCGGCCTTTAAAATTTCCTCGGCGGTATAAGTGTTGTCCACCATATAGACAATCTCCTGAACGGATGGGCAGTTGATTTCCTCGTATTTCGCAGCAATGAAAATAGCCGTAGCGCCGACCAGCTGAAGCTTTCCAAGCGAGACGATCTTGGAAGAAAGGAACCGATCGATATAATTAACGCAAAGGAAAAGCGTTTCGGGAAGGAGATTAAATCGGAGATGGACTTGAACGATCCAATCCATAAGGACGGAGCGCATGGACCATTGAATCTCAGCTTGATTATCCATATAATGAGGGTTTGGCATCAGTTTAACCTGCAACGGAACTATCAGAATCGGCCGCAAGGACAATGAGCATTTGGAATGAATACCTCAAGTTTTCTCATGTAGTCAAAGATCTCGTCTCCATATTCGGCGACCATGGTGGGATCAAAACATTCGTCTTCATAGTCTTGGGCAGTGCGGGTAGACTCGACGAATTTTTTCGCAAAGGCTAGGTCTCGCTTTTCATTTGCAGTGAACTCTGGAAATAGAATGGCAGTGGTGCCCACAGTTGTATTGTCGGTGCCGTAAAAATGAGAACGAGGTGGCATAGAGCCATCATCAACAAAATTTTCATTATCGTCATACCAGGATTCTTCAGGATCGGATGCTGGATCATGATGACCATAAGCTGCCATGGCCTCTTCTGCAGAAAGGCTTTCAATAAGCCCAGCAGTGCATTTGTCTTGAGCACTCTCACTATCTAGAGGAAGCACAGTTGACTGAGGTTCAGTCGACAGTTTTCCCGGGATACAAGCTGTCGGCTTGGTTGGATTGTAGATCTTGATCTCCCCATTATCTTCAATGTAAACTCCCTCGATCTTTTGGAGACCATATGCACCATCTAGCACAGAATCCCCATCTTGATGTTCTTGACTGTGAATAGAACAGTCATGCTGATCATGTGAGGTCGTAGGGCTCTTAGACTTAGAGTCTAATTTTTCTGGCGCCGGGGGCTGATTTCCATCGGTAATCGAGGCCGTCGACTCGACCAGAGGAGGTAGAATGGAGTCCTGAAAAACGGTATTGCGTCTCACCGGCGGTTTTCGAGGGTTCACGGGAAGCGCATCCAAAGCGGCCGTCCTGACAAGGGCACCTGCTGCATCAATGGTATTATTCTTGTTCGGTACTTTAGTTGCGAGGATTTGGGACGCTCGTTGGACCGGTCGGGTGAGCGTAGTCAGCTTCTCCGCAGGTTTCGACTTCTCCTTCGCGTTGGAGATAAAGTTATCATCCTTAGCCAGTCGAAGGGAGTTGGCTGTATTGCTGACGTTCCCCAATGCTGCTCGCTTCAATGGCTCCCTTGGCCCTTCACCCCGAGCGAGTGAAGAGAGAGCCGGGCTGGACTTGTTGCGGTGGTGAAGCGTTTTGCCATTGCGATTAATGGGCAACGCGTTTTCATCACCCCGGATCCGCATGGTTTTTGGACGCTGAGGCTAAACGTAGAACAACATTAGCAGCAGCCACGAATTGCAGGGGGTGGATAGGCATTGGACGTGGAAGTGGGAAAAACAGCGATTGAGGATGAATTCCATACCTTGGCATCCATGCTCTAATAGATAAAACTGCAAGATAGACTGTATGGCTGGACAATTAAAGAGGTGCTGCTGCTCTGATCCACGTCTGGATAAGAGCTTTGAAGTAGACAGCCTCAAGCGTTGCTTGCGATCGCATGAGGCAGCTCACAACAGCCCTAAAATAACGAGCCCAGTTGCCCTCTGTCAAAGAAAGGAGGGATAAGGTCCAGCAGCACAAGCAGGAGAGCAGCTGCAGGCGTGGGATGTGGGAATGGGCGTGGCAGCGTGCAGCTTGTTGATATTCAGCTCTCTGGATTTGCTGCAGTGAAGACGGGGAGACAGCAGTAAACAAAGCTAGTCCCAAAGCGGGAAAGCGCCCGGTGAGTTTGGCCGAGCAACCGCCAGCCGCCCTGATTACGTCATGCACAGCTGGCGTGCGACACGTCTTCTCAACCGCCGCGGAAACCAGGACGACGACAGCAGAGCGTCAACAATGGCTGATCTTTTGGAAACTGATCGGTCTCATGTCTCACGAGTCTCATGCGACTATGAATATGGAATTTATAGCTCCCGTCACTCTGTGTTGTGGTGAGTATTCACATCTCAGTGGAAAGCTGGGGCTTTACGCGTTAAGAACACGCTGCAAACACCAGTTCACGTGATGGTGGAAGGGCTCAGCTTGTGTGGCACTTTTCCCATGGAGAGCGCACCAGATGAAAAGAAAGGCGGAGAGCACCCTCTACAATGGATATTTCGGTCTCAAGTGCGCTAGGAAACACATCCGAATGCATTTCGCTCACATTGTGGGCAACTTTGTGCTCTCCCGCAGCGACAGACGAACGGAACAGTAAATTATTTTCATCAGACTTGGTGTTGTCGACCTAACAATCCGCAAATTCGAACAAATACGCCATGTTTCTCCCGCACGGTTCCGGCTCTGCGAATTTCAGTTTGGTGAGGCCATCCATCCTCTCATGTTTCGGTCACAAGATGGAGAGTTGTTCCGAACTCGCCAAGAAGAGCGCAAAGTCTCAGGTCCCATTCCTGCATAACCGCCGGTTCCAGTCCGCTTCGCTTTTCCCGCGTTTGCGCTCACCGATTTCTTTGTTCACGAGCGGAGCAGACATCGAGATCGAGTCGCTGTTTTTCCCAGAACAGCCCCAAATCCCCAACGGCCGGTGTCTGCGGTTGATGGGCCTCTGGAATCACGGCGCTCCGGGAACAACGGAGTATTAACCTTTGGATTCAGGACGGGTCCTCGATAATTGAACACAACATCCGTGGTTCAGGATGCCCGTGGTTTCTTTGGTAGAGTTGCCTTCTCATGGCTGTAGCCTGTATGCCTCATCCCGCAACCAAACTCTGTACGGTCGAATGATGGCATTCTGGTCTAGTTATTACTGCACTAAGTGCTGGGATTTTGGAGAGAGCGAAAGTGGTATCTTCAGAGTGGGGATTCATGGAACATTGACGCCCTGCTCGCAGGGAACAGTCTCTGGGTTTTGCCAGCCCATGCGCATGGCCTGGGTGCTGCAGTCTTGTCTGCCCAGCAGCTTCTCAAGCCCGTCTCCGCCAAAGCAAAAGAATCCACCAAAAATAATGCGGACGCCGGGATGTGAAAGGGGGCCAGCGATCCACGAGGATTGGCCAGCAAATAGTGATCAGGACGGATCCAACTCTCTTGACGTGGCCGCCGCAGAGGCTGCTTGCTCAGCCAACCAAAGCCCAGCGCTCCGACGTGGTGGCTATCTCGCCCGTTCTGTCCTCGTCTGCGAACATGCACGATGCACCGCAAGGGAGGGGAAGAGGCTTTCTGCGAAATCTCATCGACAGCAGCTCCTTCACACTTTTACCCAACAAGCCCAAATTCCCAAGCCAATCCCGAAATGTAGCACCCAAAGCTTTGCGATCGGGTCTGTCGCAAGCCTCAACGCGCAAGGTATCCGGTCTGTCAATTCCTCGTACTGATCGCCTGTGTCTAACCTGACACGGGGAGATTATCCTTTCGTATAAATCGAGACAGTTCTCACGAGAAATGCGACATATATCCGCCGTCGCGAACGTAGAGAAGCTTTGCGATTGTAGCCCCAAATAAAGCCGTAGAGAGCAGTTATATTGAACAATTTGAACATACAGAGCATGTTTTTTACACTAATTCCACAGGATCTCAGCAATTGCCGGACTGCAAAGCTTACTATCAGATGAAAAGGGTTGTTCTGGTGGTCATGCTCCGGCATCACCGCATCTCGTCCACTATTTAGGTGTGAAACCTCCACTGTTCGCAACTTCAACTTCTCCCAACTCCCTGTCGGCTTGCACCTTTTCAACCTCAACCATTTCAATCAGCAACTCTCTTGTGCTGTTTTATCTTCGAATCCAGGTGCTGGGCAGTGCTCTATCTGGCCTTTTGCATCGTCTTGTCTTTTTTACCCTTCCTGCTGCCTGATTCGTTTGGCTCTCTTCTTTGCTCGGAGCCCGCCAACGTCGCCTGTATAAGAAAGCCGCTCCATCCACACCGTCGTCAGCCCTCATCACTCGTACTCACGGCCGATGGCCGTCATCGTCGTATGATTGCGATTCAGTGCTGACACTTTTGGAGAAGCCCAGGTAAGTTTCTCATCGATTCGCCCACATCCGAGCTATCCTCAAATTTGAGGGTCGGCCACATCCCGTACTCGTCCTTTTCTTTCGGGCTTCGATTCATTCATCAGCATCGACCCGATAAACCTGATATGAGGGCTGCTACAAGACTGAATCCGTCTCCATCCCGCTATTATCTTGCCCAGGTCTAATATCTTCTGTTTTCCCTCCTAGCTCGTTACCCGAATCGCTCGACCACTACCTCTCTTGCACAGCGCCAACGACCACGGTTTCTTCCGAGCTACCGCCTGAGCGCTTTGAATTGGATCCTTCCTCAAACAAATTTACCTTCGATCCATACTCCGTTATCGTTGCTACGAGAACAGATGGAGGTCACAAATCTTGTTTCGAACCAGCCTTTGCATCTCGATCCTACCGTAACAAAATGCAATTCAAAAGAACCTACAACCGGCGATATCTCTGAAATATTTCCAAACGGCGACAGTGATATAACGGCTCCCATGCCAGAGGACCATGCCACCCTCGAGAACGGGTATTCAACAACCCCTGACCCGGCACCGTCGAACAGTGATTGCAGCGGTAGGGTAGATGCTCATCAAACCTTACCTTCGAGCTCATCTCCTAAGAATGTCGCTTTTGAGCTTGTTCTTGATGAAGAATCAAAAGTGAGAGGAAGAATACCAATGAGAGTCCAAATCTTTCCCCATGACACAACGGACTCTATCGTGACTACTGTGAAAAATTTCTACGGTATTTACGAGGGCATGGGGAGCGGTGTGAGTTTTGAAGACGAAAATGCAACTACCCTCATTGCGCGTTACGAAAATTTGCGAAACAATATGACCGTCTACGTACGTGTGATCCCGAATCATGGCTACTCGACCCAGCAGCTGTACTATGGAGCGCCCCAACATGAAGGCGCTCCACGGCCTTGCCTTGGAGAACCCTTCCAACCGTCATCCGACCATGGTCGCCCGCCTTCAAGGCCAACATCTCGAGTCTCCCGGAAGCGCAGTGCCTCTCCGTCTGCCCGTGGGCGCCGAAGTGTTTCCACCCAAAAGGCTGCACGGTCTCGCAACAAGAGCCGCGGTTCTAGCACTCATGGTAGCTTCCTCGAAGAACCACTTGTACCTTATAGCGATAGCGATGGTGGCCATGCGTCAATTACGAGTTCGAAGAAAGCAAGGAGCGAACATTTTGCTAGTTCTGACATTAGCATGGAAAATATCCTTCATGATGGTAGAAGAAAGAGACCAAAATTTGAGAGTTCGGTATGATTCTATTCTGTCTGCTTTTCCCCCTTCTTCTAGCCCCAGTCCCTAACTCTTTCTTTCTTTTTTTTCCGAAATCTAGGAATTGCCACTCTTCGCTCCTCCCCAGGTTCCTAGGACAACCTCTGCGTCATCCATATCCCCTCAACGGCGATCGACTATCCAGGAAGGGGCATCTCCCTTCATAAGGCCAGCCTATCCACTTGGGGTCCAATACCCACTGCATTCACCACAGGGTCTCAGAAACCATGAGCACCTATATTCTCTTCAGGGGAACTCACCATATGCCACTCCTGGGGCCCCGCATCATGGCCACCATCTCCGGGAACGACCACATTCACAATCCGCGGGGCCGCATGGAAATAAGATCAACAACTGTGGCGTTCTTCCAACGCCCGATCCAACAATTGCCAGTTGTATTTCTGATGAAGATGTAGCGATGCAGCTAATCCGCCTTGGTGATGCGTCAAACTTCTCGCACGGTCGCACTTCTCTGTCCACCGCCGACGATGCTTTTAGCGGAATCGCTGATGCCTCTTCATCCACTGGTGCGACTTCGGATGGAGAAATGAGTGTAGACGAAGGGGAACCGTCGCTGAAGGCAGCACAAATGAACCAGAATGGCGGCAGTTCGGGTACCGACGGCATCAACGGAAATTATCGTTTGGATGAAGCTCCCGTTGCCACAAAGAATGAGTATGAGGATAGCCATACCTACGGTTCTCAAGCCGCGAACACTAGGCGGGCGAAGCCCAAATTTGGCAATACGAGTAGCGCAAAGACAAAGCAAGGTACAATTTCTAAATCGGCAAAGGTCATCAAGGCGCGCTCTGGAACGGTTGCTCGAAAGCCAAAATCAACCACCACCAACGGAACTAGCAAGATTGCCCTGCCGCCTCCATCCATATCACCACAGATACAGCGAAAGGCGTCCGGGTCCGGATTAAATTTCCAGCATCAACTTGCAGCTGACGAGGAGGATTTATCCACTAAACCACGATGCCAACGGTGCCGTAAGAGCAAGAAAGGTTGCGATAGGCAACGCCCTTGCCAGAGGTGCCGTGACGCTGGTATTGGCATTGAAGGATGCGTGAGCGAAGATGAGGGCAACGGGCGTAAGGGTAGGTATGGCCGACACATGGGTGTTCCTATTAAGAAGGTGAACCCAGGTCCTGCGGACCAGGAGCCTCAGACCATGGCTCCCTTTTTCACTGCGGCTTCTACTGCTGCTGCTCAAGCTGCCAGTAAGAAGAGAAAGCGGTGAGCTTATTGCACACCCATCTCCCGTGCTACCCAGCGTCACTCTCTCAATTTGATATCAGTTCTACAATATACACTGGAACCTCTCCCCACGCCAACCCTTTTTAGCTATTTTCAGAGTACGTCCTCGCTATACAGGCCGAGTGTCCCATCCACTTTGATATCCTCTCCCCCCCTGGTGTGCGTTGTCTATGCTAGTGTTTAGTCCATAGCTTATATTCGGAGTACTGTTTAAGTGTTTCTTCCAGGCATAGGGAGCAATGCTCCATGCTGCGAATTGTGAAAAAGACAAATTGCTTTGCTTTATAGGATAGCTGACATGCCACTTTTATATATCTCACTCGCGTTGCTCCCACAACTACACTGTCCTTTCCGTCCAGTTTTCTACCACCTGATTTCTATTTTTCTGTCTTCTTTTAATATATATATCTATTTCCTTTCTAAGGGCGTATTCTCTTTCAGGGTCAATTTTTTGTACTTGCATCTGTCCTTACCGCATCGAATCATAGGCGCAAAATTTTTAATCGGACTACTGTATTTGCCTCTCACTACTTTTCTTTCCGTCTCTATTTTGTATGTTGGCTTTGTCTGCCCCATCGACATTCCGATTGTGCGCCCTATTGCTTCAGCTCTTGGAGGTTGTGTCGTTTATTCCACTTATGACATTCTTTGACGGTTTTCTTGATCTCAGGCGATTATTGTTGAGTAGCCAATATAACTCCTTTTTTTCAAAAGTGTCGAGTCGTGTCGTCCTGATAACAAGATCGGCCCTCGGGCGTCGATTTGTTTGCCGTTCAATGGAGTGCGACACGGACAGCAAAGTGACAGTCTTTCTCTTCGATGCCTGATTGGATGAAAGCAGCCATATCACGCTTGTCTCTATTTGGCTAGATTGCATTATATAAGCTCGGTATCGGAGAATTAATCCACCGTTATCCGTAGTCAAACAAGACAAACAAAAAGAACTGACGCATCGGCGAATCCGCGATCCTCCTGGCGACAATTCTCTGGTGAGCTTTCGATGGGATATTTTATCTATTATATACAAATTGACGGTGAATGAACTGCCCTCTTGATTTGGAATCTGTTATGAGCCCGGAACCCCGTCACGCTTAGATTTCGACCGCTCCGAAAGTGACCTGCGACACAAGTCATGCCGCCAAAAGCCGCAGGCAATCGTCAGCCAGGGTCACGGCGCCCCATTAACGTGGATTCCGCAAGCTCGACGCCGGAAGTTGCAGGCACATTGTCCGCACGAGCTACTCCCGCCGCGCGAGGCGGACCAGTCCAGCGCCTTCAGACTCTGAAAAAACGCACCCCGTCAGGAAGCCTCGTGCCGCTGAATTCAGATGGAACGGCGCCGAAACCAACGTTAAAATATCAGCCGAAAGCCGTTGTTCGTCGGAGTAAGGAGGAGCGGGAGGCCAGGGAGCGGCTCGAGGCGGAGAGACAAAGAGAACGGATTTCGGAAGCTGCTGCGACAAGGCGGACTGCTGCGCGGGGCGATCGCGGACGGGGGAGGGGGAGAGGGAGGGGAGGAGCGTTTGGCCGAATCGCTGCAGATGCCGGCGGGCCCTTGGGCTCTGGAAGGAGTGGTAGGTTTGGGGTTAAATACGACCAGGCTGGCGGCAAGCGATCTGGTATCTATGGCGGGGGAAGCGGGGATGTTTCGTCCGATGAAGGGAGTGATTACGGGCCACGGTTCAGCATCGACCAAATCAATATCAGTAGCGACTCCGAAGGTGAGACGGCGGATGTTGGGAAAGGAAAAGCGCCGGCGAAGATGGCTTCAGCAGGGTCTCGGGGGCTCCGACCCATTCGTGTTGAACGACAAGAACATGTGGAGCGCACGGTCGATATCAATACCGAGGCCAGCTCGAGTAAATCAGCCGAGCTGAGACGGCAGGCGAAAGAGAAAGCTGGGAAGGACGACAGCTTATTTGTTGAATCGGACGATGAGGTGATTGAAGGGCCAGCCGACGTGGAGATGGTTGATTCAACAGCGGAAGCGGGCCCGCAGTTGAAGGAAGAGCCTACAGATACAGGCGCCGGAATTGCGGACGATGTTCCCGCTGCCATCGATGACACCGGTGCACCCTCTATTCCGAAAAAGGCGCCCAAGAAGACTATTATCAAAGATCCGCGAAGCCTATTCCAAACCAAGGAAGAACGACAAGAATATGATCGATACGAACAAGACATAGAGCAACTGAAGGAAACTCTAGGAAACATATCGACGACTGACACGACGCTCGGCGACCAAGCAGATGACGAGGCCAAAGTCAAGAACGAAGCGATAAAGGACGAACGCCAGGGCCGCCTCTTCCTCCTCCAATTCCCACCCATGACTCCGAACCTCATGGCCCCGTCCGCGCGAAAGAACGACGTCGAAGAAGCGACCAGCACACCTGCAACCCAAGCACCCGAATCAATCACGATCAAAGCGGAAAACGGCACGGCCACGCAGATTCCCCTGGACGGCGGCCCCACGAACCCCCCCGTCCCCGGCAAATCCGCCTCCTCACATCCCCTGATCTCCGCGACAAATAGTAGCCTCCCACCTGGGCGGGTTGGCAAGTTGAACATCCACAAGTCCGGTCGAGCGACGATAGACTGGGGGGGGATCAGTCTGGAATTAAACAAGGGCAGCGATGTCGACTTTTTACAAGACGCGGTTGTCGCATCGGATTCTAAACCGGGAGACAACAGCGGGTCAGACCGGAAAATCTGGGCCATGTCGCAGGTCAGTGGGAAGTTCGTGGTCACGCCGGATTGGGATAAATTGCTTGACGAATGATTGCCATAATCAGTGGAAGATTTTTTGTTTCTTTTCTATTGGCATATATGAGCGTAAATTAGATATGGGTGGTATAGAAAATTGGGCATTTTTGATGGCATCACGCAGCAATTTAGCTTGGACGGAAGTTAGGCAAAGCAAAATGGGCATATCATTTATCAATGGATCTTAATATAGCAATGTTCTTCAATCTAAGTGCAACTAAGACGGGCCATGCAGATGAATAAAAATACAAGTCGAGAATATTGTATGCTTGCCGTTACTGCTCCACGACTAAATCCATCGGCATACTTTCATTACCGTTCGCTACATCCCAAAACTCTCGGAACGCCATGTAAATCCAGACCAGTTCCTCTAAAACGTCGGGCGGTGTGGGTCTGAGGTAAGCTAACTCATTCAACCCTTCATATACATCATGCAGTTTCACCGTGAAGAGGAAGTACTGAAACATATCTGTTCCCTCCACAAACGGTTCCGGATGGATATCCATGGGCCTGCGACCCAAACTGTCCAAGGCTGAGCTATCAGCGCCGCAGTCCAAAAGATGGTCAACGATCTTCCGACGAGTGTCGTGGCCTATGTTCGCGCAGTTATTGTTAACGTCAATGGGAGCAAAGAAAAGGAGAAGTGGTAAAATAGCTGATACTCACCTTTGTAATAGGGTGTAGAATCGCGGGCAAATACAGCTATATGCAAAGGGGTTAACCCGTACATGGTCCTCGTTTCCGAGTCCGATTTGGTTCTGCTGAGGCGCCTCACGAGTGGTAGCGAACCTGTTAGAATTGCAAGATCTAGAGCTGTTGAGCCGAACAAGTCGATGAGACCAGTGTCAATCCCCAAATCAATCAGGGTGATGGCGACTGGGTTATTTCTGTTGTAGAGCGCAATATGGAGCGCACTAGAACCATCATCGGTTTGTGCAGACAGATCGGCGCCAGCATCGTAGAGATCTTTGATGATAGAAATACCGTCCAAGGCCCGGTCTCCTGTGCTGTATTTATATTTCATGGGGCTTTGGTGTTTGATGGGAACATCCTCTTCCCTAAAGAATAGCCTGTCGGTTGGTGCAAAATGTAGAGGCGTGTAACCGTTTGAATTGCGAGACAGGGCCAAGGCTGGGTCGGCGTCTAGCAATGCCTTGACAACCCCTACGTGTCCGTAACGAGCTGCCATATGAAGTGCACTGTTCCCGTACTCATCAACAGCTCTGCCACTGCCTTTGGCGGCACCCGCCTCAATTAAAAGCATTGGAATTTGCTCAGCACACCGGAATCCGGCCATGTATACCGCATCCAGGAGAGTTCGACCGCGTTTGTCTTGCATGAGAGTGAGTTCCGGTGCTGTTTCAAGTAACAGTTGGATCACCATAGGTCGAGGTATCAGATAGTGGAGTACAGTGGTCCCATCGCTAGGGTCCAAGCCAACGACATCGGCGCCAAATTCGATCAGTATACGAAGCTTGGATAAACAGGACATGGCCTTCCGCTTGATGATCGGAGTGCGGCCGCGAGCCCCAGCTTCAACGAGAACGCGAAAAGCCTCGACACCGTCGGCCTGCAGAGACTCTTCGAATGCCGTTTCCAGGGGGTTGTCGTCAAATGGGCATGGTGCACTACCACCGGCGTCAAGAAGCAGTTTTACAATCTCAGCTTCATTATGTTTGGCAGCAGCTGCGAGAGGAATTAAGCCCCATACAGGCAGAGAGACGTCGGCACCATGCTTTAGCAGTAGCTTGACAACCTCGTAATGGCCTTGAGCAATGGCAATCGCCAGTGCGTATTCGCGAGGGGTTTTCGGGGCATCCAAGGCGCCAGCATCTATCAGCATTTCTACCACGTTCGGATTTCCCCTCCACGCTGCACAGTGGAGAGGAGTCCATCCCCCACAGTCCCGAGCTGTAGCATGCGCACCCCGGTCTAGGATCAGACGAAGCATGGCCGCTTCACCAGCTTCCGCAACAACATGGAGGAGGGTTGAGGTGAAGCCGTCCCAGAGGCAGCTATACATCCCACACAAATGCACGCCCTTGTCAGTCCTGTCAGGTATATCCTCGGAAGAAATGGTTCGAGTCCTTTCTAACAAGGCCTTGAAAGGTCGTAGCTGTTTAGATCGAGCCGCAAGGCAGAGAGATAAAGGGTAGCCGACATGATTCTCATCGTGCTCAATGGCCTTGTCGTAGAGAAGTCCAAGCCAGAGTGAATGGGCTTGTTTTGTAGTAAGTGCCAGACAGAGCAGCTCCGGGACGGCTAGATATTTGTAGATCTCCAGCACAATTTCGGTTGGCAGGTCGGTTAGGAACATGGTAAGGGAAACTTCGCGATATAAACTGCAAGTAGAGATAAATGTCAATACTGTGTCAGTGTTTGATTCTTTGAAATGGAAAAAAGAACTGCTTGTTTGCAGGTCAAGTGTGGTATATATATCGCCGTTTGCAGCCCATTTCTGCGTGGCAGCTCGCCTGCCTACAAGGCATAGTCCCGGCCAGCAGGCAGCAAGGAGCTGCAGCGCCATCATCAGTGCTCGCCGTTTCACCCTGAAGAACTGGCTGGGAGTGCTGGCGCAAACTCCGTCTAAGCGCTGAGGAAGAAGAGAAGCATCTGATGCGAGTCGTCGAGAACCAAACGAAAATGCCGAGATCCCGTGACCTGAGACAGTTTAGGGTTAGGCTGCATGCCAAGCTTTATATTTATAACACATAATTGGCTGATCTATTAATAGCTGCAGCCAATGGAAATTGAAGAATCTTCATTAATCCCGCCAATCAACAGGCAGTATCCGGCTGATGACGACGTAATCATCAAACAGCTTGAAAGCTGAAACAACCACGCCGGAACCACAGCTCGCAGCAACACCGCCATCTGCATTGATCCGACGCCTGTTGTTCGCTCATCTCGTGCAGCTGCGCCGTAATTGAAGGAGGCCTGCAGCTGCGGCAACCGCACCGTCAATTCACGAACAGTCGACAAAATCCCTGTGCACAATGCGAGTGCCGCAATCCGTCTCCCTCTTCGTCCTGGCAGCCTCCATTCCTCTCACAACGGCGTCCTCGCACGCCTACGATCGTCTCCCGCCTGATCAAGAAGCGGCACTGCTTCCCATCCTCCCCTTCCTCCGGAACCCAGCCGCAACTCCAGGCTCCTTATCCTCGCACTCCCGACCCCCGCCAACCCGCCCGCCGTCTCTCAGCGAGCGAGGAATTGTGGACGCACCCCCCGCCGCCCAACCCACAAAGGTCACCCAAATGTCCCCCGTGATGACAATAAATGTGGACGGCAAACCAGTGCTATACACACAGAAATTCTCGCCCGTGCCGGACCAGCTGCCGCAGCCAAAGAAAGGGGCAATCGGACTCGGCACGTTGGAGGGGGAAATTGGGGAGACGTCCACGATTGATAAGCGGGCACCAGCCGAAACGGAGACGTCGACCACAAATGGAGAGCCTCTGAGACTTCTGGCAAGACATTCGAGATGCAAAACGCTAGAGTGTGTGAGAGCGCATTCTTAAGGAGATTGCTGTTGAGCAGCATTCTTAATGACGTCTGGGCTCCCTGGCGGATGTGCCCCATGAACCGTGCACACAATATAAACGGAAATTTAATATGGCGATGTGTGATATATGGTGCATTTAGGCGGTCCTTCTGTCTTCGACCTGCATTGTCAGAACCTTAGGTTGTTTCGGGGTTTTGCATTTTGGTGGCCACAGCTAGTTTAATATTGCGGGCTCTCTAGCTTTAGCAGAGTTTCTTCTGCCTTTGACATTCTATCGAGTTTGGCTTGTTTTAAACCGGAGATATCCTTTTCTTTCTTTCAATTTTTCATCAATGTGATGATAATACATATACGTTAAAGTTATAGAAGTTGAAATCCGGGCCTTCTCACCAGCATCGGGTATCATCTCCCTTTGAACGCTATTCCACGACGGTCCTAGTGTGCATGCTTCGAAGATGATATGTGATAATGATCATGCATCAATCACATCCCCATCCAATTCATCAATACTTTCCCCAGAAGGTAAGTAACGAAAATGCCGAACACGATCCTCGATTTCCGATGCGGCAGCAAATAACCTCCTCCTACCGCGGCCCTTAAGGCACCATACAGGCCGGGCAATGGCCGAAAATATCTGCGCCGATCAAATGCCGCCGCGCTCGAGGCTGGGTCAGTCTTAACCTTGTCGTATACATTTGGCAGCAGCGAGGCATGGTACTTTTCCCGAAGCGCCTCATAGCTTTTACGATCATAAATGCTCCAAAATTCATCTTCCGTGTAGAAAGTCTGGGCGTAGAGCCCATTTAGAGCCATGGAGAGAGTAGGTCTTGTGCTCGAGGGCGCGGTTGGCTTCGATAAAAGCGCGATGGGAGCTGGGCCCGGGGGTCCAGAGGCCGACGTTGAGGAGCATGTTATCACCCCCCGTGTCTCCATGTATAAGGCTTTGCGGATGGAAAGATACATGCTGACGCGCATGTGGTTTAATCGGACATAGCCACAACGGATATCGATCAAAGTTCTCACCCAAGTAGCCGATAAACTCGTTGCCAGCAGACCACGGGACCGCCATATCCTGGATGATAAAGGTGCTAGAAAGGCGGCTTTTGTGCAAAGCGTGATACATCACACGAGTATGCATGAAGTAATCCAAAAAATAGCGCGTGAGCCGATTGAATGGAATGAAAAAGTAGTCGTATGCAAACTGGCCCATCCAGAAGGCACCCCGGTCATATCGAAAAAGGTAGTCTGCCACCGGAACATACTCAATCGTGGACTCTGATGGAGACTCCTGGCAGATCTGTTCGGCATGGATATAAAACCACTCGTCACTCGGACGCGTGAAAGTCTGAACCCTGCTCTGCTTCTTAGGGTCCATGGTATCAATTCTCTGGCCAGTGACAACCACGCCGCGGTCAGCAGCAAACAGGATGCCGTCCACGTAGTCGAGTTTCTCGTCCTTCACCTTCTTCCCCAGTAAATCAATCGCATCCCTCGCGCTGTGTACGGGGAAATATTGCACCTCCAGCCACTTGCTAGTTTCAACCAGCTTCACTCTCAAAAGCGTCGTAACCCCTAGAGTTCCAAAGCTCCCCGAGAGTCCCCAGAATAGATCTTCATTCTCCCCCGGATTCGGGCTGGCAGTAACAACATCTCCATTTCCTAGCACCACTTCAATCCACGTCACCGTGCGGTCAAAGAACCCATGTCGAAACGAGCTACTTTCGCCCCCGGTGCCAGCGAACCCACCGCCAACAGTGATGCCCGGAAACTCCATGACCACCGGGGGAACAAGGCCGTGTCGCAGCGTAGCCGCAACAAGCTTGTCCATCGGAACATTTGGCTCCACCAGGGCTGTTTTCGCCGCAGGGTCGATTGTGAGCACATGCGTCAACGCGCTGATATCCACGATCTGGTCATGTTGGAATGACTGCGAGCGCGTACTGTTTGTTGAGCCATGGTAGATCCGGAAAGGTAGCTTGCGGGAGTAAAGATTGCGAACTGTGGAAGATATAGCAGAAACGGCGGCGTTGTGCTGGTCCATCTTGTTGAGCAGTAAACTAGTTGTACACTCGCAAAGATCCGGATGTCCCGGGTCCAGCGTGGAGCTTCTACTGCAGCTGCATCAGATGTATACAACGCGTCAAGGAATAGTAGAGATGATATGGTAGTTAAGTGTGGTGTTGGAGACAGCTCACAGGTTGGTGGTTATGAAAACAACACAGATTACTCACCCTGGGTTCCCTGGTTTATTCAACTCGTATGCTGGTCGCTTCTACACGAACTGGAATTGAGATGTAAAAGAATCGGTTGAGATTTGAACATATATTGTCTGATATCTACATCTTGAATATGCGACTTGAATTATTCCACCATTAAAATTAGTCCCGCTTCTTGAAGCAAGGAAGCCATTCATGCAAAGCAGCCCTCCACAAGTCTCTCGACACTTGTCCTGGCTTGAATGCGGATCTGAAGTCATAGACATGTTGTGCGTTCGGGATCGTGTAGCCAAAGAGCTTCCATCGTGGTGTTGGCACATTGCACTTAGGAATTTCGGTGGTGACCTTGACGCGCGGTGCGAAACTCTCGGTTGAGAGAGGAGAGAGCGACCGCCATGGGTCCCATTGTCCACCGCTCCAGTAGGTGTTGGAGGGACGCATATGCCAGCCACCGGTGTCCCTGTTCACTTTGTGGGTTCTGGGACGCAGCGGGAAATGGCCGCTCTTGAGACCATCGGGGAACTGGCGGTAGCATAGGTACTTCTGGTAATAGAAATCGGTTTGATAATCCGAGAGGATTTCGTGGCCACGGTAGTTCTGGTACTGGTAGTAGCCCCATTCGCTGCAGTATTGCCATGTCCAGCTGATCAGGGTTGGGTCCGCATTTCTCATTCCAAGGTTGCAGGAGGTTGGTTTGTTCGGGTTTTGGCCTTTGCAGTTTGTCCCAAAGTAGGGGTTGATGGAAGGCACAAGAGGAGGCCATGCGGCAAATCGTTCGGCCATTGCTTTTCCACCTTTGGTTGGCGCCCAGCCCTCAGCAGGAGCTGTCTTTCCAGTCTCCGGGTCGGTTTCGAGCCAGTCACAGAACTGCCCAACTGGGCCGTTTGGTCCAGCACTCTGCCATGTAGCCCAGTTCCAGATCAAAGCCTGGGTAAAATCACCGTTGTTGTTCTGTTCGGCGGTTTCGCCGAAGAAGAGTTTCTTGATGCGGGCTGCGCTTTCACGGTGGCGGAGTTGCGCATCAATATACTTGTATGCGGCGCGGACGTCCTTGGTGCAGTTTTTGTAACCGTATGCCACCAATCCTCTATACACCTGCTCATAGTACACACTCATATCGATTTGCGCTTGAACTGGTGCGGAGGCGGCAAAGGCAGCGAAGATAGTCTCAGGGTACTTGTCCCTTGTGAAAGCTGCACGCATGCCTGGGTATGAGCCACCAAGCATGACCCATGGGGTCGACTTCGGTGTTAGGTCGTCGTTGGGGAAGTTCTCCCGCTTGAATCTTTCAGCAAAGTAGGGGATATCGGCCAAAGCTTGCTCGTTGTTGAGGTACTGGAAATGCTCGGCTGGTGTATCGAGGTTGACGGGGAATGGGAGGGATTCGCCGTAGTATCTGGAAAAGTGATGAGATTACAGTTGATCTCGAAACTAGGATAAGTGTAGCCACACACCGGTGCTCCCAGACAATACCCATACCCTTGAACTCCTCAAGCAAGTGAACAAAAAAGGAGGTCTCGTTCACAAGGTAGTAATCGGCATAACGTTGAGCGTTAGCCTCGCCGCCGTCAAAGACGAAAACCGGGCCTCCGGATTTGTAGTGGGAATCATTGATCCAGAAACGGTTCTTGTACTTTGCACCGGGGTTCTTGTGGTCGATAGGCAGCTAGCATCATCCGCTTCGTCAGCTCTACTATCAACGAGGCGTACTAGATCGGATTCGACGTACCTCAACCGATTCAGGCTCTGGCCTGGACTCGATGTCAATATTTTCAGTCCTGACCATACTGGGATCGGCCATGACGGCCTCGATATCCATGCCCATCAATTGAGCCATCTCCAGGTCTTGGTTCAGAGTCACGAATCCTGGCGCAAAACAGGACCCTAGCCCTGCGAGCAGGGCGAAGGCAGTGCCTCCAAGAAGCTGGTTGGAGAACCTCATGGTGTCGAGGCTGTGTGGTGGTGCAGTCCTCCGGTTGAATCCCCACGGCGACCTGGTGTGAAGAACCGGGCGCGTTGCGGGAGCCTGGCTGTCTTTTATAGTTCCTTGTCTTCACGGAGAAATAAAGGCACTCTCGCCATATTGGCATGGGAACCGGCCGTGCACCCCTGGTTATGGCCTCCGCTCCATCCTTTCGTTCAGGGCATATCCCCTCCGGAGTGCCATATTCAATCCCCATGTGGTATTGTGCGGAAAAATCCTAGCTGATCCGGGGTCATGCACTCAATGCGCGCTGGCTCGCGGATTTCATTTCACGGAAGATCAGACCGGGTCTGAATATGGCCCAGAAGGTCCTTATTGGGCCGTCAGGGGATGGTATCCGATATTACGCTAGGGTTTCCGTCTCTCGACAAGCCCGCGATGCTGGAGATACGCATGGGTATGATTCGGCACGTCTTTCTAGAATCCCCACCGCAAAGGCTAGAAGGATGAGGCGCGGCTGTCATGGCAGACAAACCACCACCACCGTTCCCTGCGCACATTGCTCAAGCATTCTTGGCGCGCAGATCAACAGCTTAATTCCGTAGGCGGAGTGGGCAAAGACGCGGAGGAGGAGGTGCTGTTGGCTGAAATCCGAGCAGAGGATGCTGAGGTGGGTGAGACGGCAGCATCTCGCATCTCCAACAACACAGCAGCACAGAAGTGGCGATGATCCCGGGATTCGGGCGTAAAGATTCTCTGATTGCCTCTTTAGTTAGCGGTTGCAACCCTGGATGGGCTTCAAGGTTCAGCTGGCTCACGAACCAGGGCAGGCCCAGCACGCAGTGTAACCTCGCAAGAGATTGCTATCGTGTCTGCTCTTGATCGCTTCTTGAGGGATGGATTCTTCTTGAATATTAAAAGAGCAAACGCATCCCAAGAGTACAGAGCAACGATTGATTGAAGAGGCCATCGTCTCGATTGTATCGCAAGCAAGCGATTGCCATCAACGAAGCAGCCTGTTCGAGCAGTTCGATCAGCCTCGCGTGCTGATCGGATCGTATTCTCTTCATCGCGAAGAATGCTCTTCCATGACCAGCATTCCCAGGCACCATGAAATGCACTCAACGAACCAAAATGCCCCGGCAGCAGCCGTATTATCATGAACTCCGCCTGCAGCCAGCCAATTTAAACGAGTGCTTTTCCCCCCAGCAGTGACCTGCGATCGATTTCTCTCACCCGGCTGGCATCGGGCGTCACCAAAACAGCGTCTTGTCGGAAGCATGCTCCCGAGCTGTCTCTCAAAAAGAATTGATCTCGAAGTCGAGATCTGCGCTCTTCTCCAGGGTTTGGTTGGCCTCAGCCTTCCATCTCTCTCTTCTCTCGAGCAAACTCCCTTCTCCGCATCCAACTGCAGGCAACAAGCGTCAGACCCCGGATCAATGTTCCATTCGGCAAACTCCCCGGTGGCTCGACAACTCCGGGGCCTTTGCGCGCTGGGTTTCCCGTCCAGAAATATGCTTAAAAGGGTTTGCACCCTCAACCTGTGATGCTGGAGGACATGTCTGTCGCCTGAGCGAATCTCGAGATTCGACTTGTGTAGTTATGTATCGCCGCGACGACCAGTAGTTGACTATCCTGTGATAGCTATAAGGCGCCTTTTCCTCTTTTCCGGTCCTCCATGAACCACAGTGTGCTATCCTCGCTTGACTAAAGAGAAAGCTGCCCAGCTTGGTGAGTATCCATGATTTTCCGACCTGCAGTTCAGCCAAAATCGGAAGTGTTCAGTTAGTTAGTTGACTACAACTGAGCATGATTTGGGATAATGCCGTAGATGAAGCAAGGCGAATTTCTGCAATATGCCGACTGCACACTCCTTGAGAGATACTCTGTAGTAGTGAACAAAGTACCGTAATTCTCTCTCAACCTCGGGACAAGAGATAGGGTCAAATGGAGGAGTCTGAGTACGGAGTCCAGTCTTCGAAGCCCCAAGTAGTCCATCCTCTCAACGATGGGAGACAAAGATCAATCATGAATACATCAATCCAAAACGCACATCCCTTGTCACCGTCCCTCCTTTTCTCCCGCCCTCAAATGCGGGCTGTCCGTTTGCGAGGCTCAGTGCACGCAGCCAAGGCGACGCCATGCAGTTTCCCGGCCCCCAACATCCCAATCTCCCATGCGCCGGAGAATATTTCAACGCGCCGTCCTGGGATTTACGTCATGATCTCGAATTTGAGCCCGCCCCAACCCTGGTTCGTTCTGGGGGATGAGAGGCGCTAAGATGTTATATCCTGTTGGGTGGTGTGCTCAGAACGGCTCGCGCCCCCAACCCTTCATCGCAACTTGCGCTGCAGAACTGAATTCAGGTCTTAATTGAATCGGCGTCATTGCGGTGGTGCATGATGCGCCAGAGACGCGGCAAAATGAAATGGAAATCAGATCATTTACAGACTCAAAAAGGTATATATTTACATACACTGAAAATAGAAAAAAATGTGGGCACAAGACGAGAAAGTAAAATCACAACGCGTGCTCCATCTAGTAATCCCCTCCGCAGGAGGAGAACTGCAGAGTAGAGGTCAGCGTGGGTGCCATTCCCCGAGACACGGCGGGCTGCAGCACAACAAGTAAATATGAATGTATGTCAAAAGAGAAGAGTAAACTGATCGTCATGATTCATAAGTGATTCTTTCACTCTTAGAGTCTCTCCTTCATAGTCAAAACCTGGACGATATGAAGGCGTTGGATATGCATCAAAACGGTGATTTCGAACGCCCTCACGTGCCCAGATAATCAAGGTACTCCCGAGTTCTGGAGATGGACAAGAAATTAGATAGTGGGTCTTGCGATGACACGATCGACGAGATTAACAGCTAATCGCGGGCGTTCGCGAATCAGCCCATAATCATCGTGCTCCTGCGTTTCGCTCGCAGATCCAGAATCTCGACCGGAGGTGAGCGCGGCGTCAAATTGAAAGGTCCGCCTTGTGCGAGGAACGATCATCCCGCAACAACGGTCGCACGGGTAACAGGGTTCAACCTGCTCGAGCATTTCCAACGGCCTGATGCAAACGGCAGTTGGGTCATTTTATTAGTTCGTCTCTGAAATGCAACGTCGAGAAGCGTCAACACGGCTGGCGAGAGCCGGACACAGACGCTATTGCGGTGCCAAGGACCCGAAGATTTGGCCTCCACCCATCCATTTGGATGTGCCCGGTCGTATTATTAGAGTGCTATTACTCTGCGGACAGTAACAGTAGCAATAATAATAATACCAGATATATCTTCGTCCCTCCGCACGGACGTGGGTTATCACGGGTGCGATTTCGTTGGCTGGGGAGGAGTCGGGCTACAAGAACCCAGACTCCGAGAGCAATCTACTCAACCAGAAGAGAAAGAATAAAGTTGTCAGCTAATTAGTTAATCCACGCCCACAAATCAAACCGCCAACGCAAGGGTCCACTGAAAGTGCATTTGCGGATAAAATCGAGAGAGAAACAAAACGTGGCAGAGAGGCAAAAAGAAACAAGCGCTATTTCTGACTGGGAGATCCACGCAAGCAGTTTACGGGCTCATTTGTTTTTGCCAGGGCGACTGACTTGGCCCTTTTCGGAAGAGACAATGTTACAGCCCATGTCGCAACCTTCTCGTCGGGTTCACTTGGCACACGTGGGATCGTCGGCCAATCAAGCACGGAAGCAAGCATGTCATGCCGGTTGGCTGAAAAGTCAAACAATCACAAGAACTGCACTGGCGGGAAAGGGGGAGGAAAAGAGAACAAGGGGGGTGGAAGGCATTCAATGACCGCCAGCGGATAGAGCAAGTGCAAACATGGATGGATCATATAATCTACCATACCTCGCAATTTTCTCGTCTTCGCGTTCTCGGGGCTCAACTTCGAGACTCCGATCGTACATCTCGTGGACATCCCCCGCCGCCTGCATATTGCTCAAAACGTAATCTTGCAGCTCGGGCACTGGCTGCAGCTGGTAAGGCGTATTTTGATATTGCTGGATATCTCGGATCACTTCCGCCGTCTTGGCACGCTTGTTGAAGTTTATCAGGTCGGAGGGCGTCAAGGACGGGATACCGTCTTCGATGAAGGTGAGATCAGTCAGATAGACACCTAATTAATAGATAATGGTTAATATTTGCGTTGCTGTGTGTGGGATTTAACGGACGTCGAGAAGGGCAAAGCTGGAATTACCAAAGAAGGGAATGCAAGGCGGTGTCGCAAGATGCAGAGTTTCACGATATTCCCCGAAATTCTTCGTGCTGGCCATGAGTTTCCGCATGGCTTCTAGAGTCAATGAAGTCTTCTGATTAACCTGCGCCCAGGTCCGGTTTAGTCGATGAATAGGTGCCGTTCCGAGCGCCGATATGATCGATGTTAGAGTTGAGTAGTTGTTCATTTGGCGGCATTTCTACTAGTCTGTTAGACCGTTTTGTAGATGAAGAGAAGGATAGTAAGGAAAAGAGACAACAGCCGATCGGGAGTTGCCTACCTCTGCAACAGTAACAAAGTGTTTGATCACGACAACTCGTCTCCTCACATCTGATTGAGTCAAGATCATCTCCGCCACCCAATTTGTTAGTTGATTAGAATGCAGGATAAGAGCCTTGACGTTCACCGCTGGGTCAGGCTCATCGGTTCCGAGTTTCTTCTGCCATGTCTTGCTCAGACATTCAGTGGGTTTGATCTTGGCATACAATCTCGATTCGATGATAGTTAACTGTCTCGCGAACTCAGTCGGGTCAATATCAAGGAATTTAATCTTTTTCATGTGCTTTGGGAGGACTGGAGTGGGAGTATGTGCACTAAGAGTTGGGACAAGACGTTTCGCTGTGGGATCCAGCCCGCGTATCCGCTGATCAATTAGACTGAGTAGCTGAGATGTTCCTGGAGTTCTGGTATTGGCCACAGCATCCATAACAAACGCATGTATTCGCCTCAACAACTGGATATTTGCATTGTCATTTGGTTCCATCCAATACGTCTCCAGCCAACTTTTAAGGATGCTGACAACGCGGATTCGAATGGGATTTTGTTTTTGTTCAGTCCACGTTTGCAGTTCTGTCGCATTTATCCCTGAAGGTGGCTGGAGGGTGAACCTATGAACCAGCATTTCAAAAAGCTCGGAAGCAGAAGTGAACGATCGGTAGGTGAGGAGGAACGTGTCTTTGAAAGAGGGATCCAGTTTATCGTGGCGGGTCAACTGCTCAACTAGCCCGGCCAGAGTGCCGCATTTCACCTGAGGTACGTCAGATTTTGTATCATAAAATACTTCTCCCTCGTGATCCAGTCCTAAGAACCATGGAGGCTCGTCAATGTCCCGAGGTGGCGCTTCCCGAGGAACGGGTTGCCCGAAGAAGCGCTGTGCTTTATCTAACGAGCGCGGCGGCTTTTCTATCAAATCTTCACCGTTAATTGGGTATGATGACGGAATTCCGATGGACTCAGGAGGAACTCTTCTAACTTGGGAGTCTGAACGCGTTCGTTTCGACGTGGAAGCCTCTGCAGTCCCCCCTAACTGCTTGGCCGGTGATTCCAAGGGCGTTTGCTCTAGTAGCAACGTCAACGAGAATCCTATTTGTGACATGTATTGCTCTAGTTGCCTCGTAATGATCTTTACATCATTGAGACGAGTATCAAGAGCATCGGATCGCAACTCAGCCCACTCATCAGCCAAAGGTGCTGATACGGCCTGGCAAGCTAGCATAAGGTCTGCTATACCATCGTATGCCCTTTGCTTTTGAAGGCTAAAGTCTGCTAGCTGAGGGTTCTGGAAGCTTGTTCCCAGAGGAGCTAAGTTTATTGATTCGATATGAGACATCCAAGGTCTGAAAGTCTCCAAAACTCTCATACCAGCAGTACATACGGCGTCTCCGATGGCGATGTGTTTATTGGGAGTCACAGTCTTATCGTTCAGATGAAGCTGCTTATCCAGAAAACGGCAACTCGCTACGGCCTCTTTTCGCAGCTCATCGATTCGGTCCAACAGTCTCGAATCAAGGATGATTGACGGTGCGGTTCGGGGGTCACGTCCTGATTCGTAGTCAAGAAACGCTGTAGGGTCTTTGTCACGAACATTATTATTCTGCCAGTGGCCTCCGGAAGTGCTCCCGCTCACAAACCCGGGGATCAGCCGCCGGATATCCTCTCCCTTCTGCTGTCTAGCTACATTGACATAACCATAAACACCAGCCAGAACGCCTTCAGCTTCATGCAGGCATTTCTTGGAGGAATCTGGCACCGGCCAATCTGCAGATGCGATGTGAGATGATAGCACTAATTTGGAAAATTTGGACATCATGTCGCGGAAATGAGGGTATAACGCCTTGTTGGTCGAAATAATTGAGGGGTTCCCGGAGTGGTTATCAGTCGTATCAGATCCCGCAGCGAGTAAAATTCGTAGGTGGTCTGAGATATCCTCCGCTCGGCTTACAAACTGCGATCTGTCGCCTGCCAGCATCGCTTGACGGTATGCTTCAATGGCTTGGCGCATGTTTTCAACAAGAGATGCCCATGTCGGCGGAATCTGGGTGGCATCATCAAGGAAATATCGGGGAATGGAAAAAGGGGGTGGTGCAGAGGGTGATCGTGAATTGGAAGGAGCAGTGTTAGCGACACCAGTAAGAGATGCTGATTGTGCGGCGCCGCGCAGAATCTGCGAGTCCAAGAGCTTTGTGACCGGTGACGGGTTCATCGAATCTAAAGAGGTCGCGGGAGACACCCCATTAGACAAGCCTGAATGGCGCCGCCTGGGGAAGGACCCGTTGGATGCAAGAAGCAGAGATTCACCTTCAGCTTCAGATGCAGAGCCGTCGTAATCTTGTTCAAACCCACCAGCTGGTCGGTTTACAATGTCCGCAGGTGCGCGAGTATGTTCCGGCACATAGATGTTGGTCCGATTACGTGGTCCAGATTCGTGAGGTGAGGTTGGCGTTTCTAGAGGGAGTTCCATTGTACTATAGCCAGTCAAGGTGTTGTAATAAAAAAGACGCCCATCGGCCGTCGCTTGAGGTATCCAAAATGCAGCTTCCTCCTGAGTTCCAGGGGTCGTGTTCTCAATTGGCGGCACCGAGACATCCTCTTTTGAATTTCCTTGCGAGTCCAAGTCGTCATCGTTATCATCCTCATAATCATCCTCCGTTCCAGACTCGATGCTTATTTCACCACCGAGATTTAGTCGATCAGAGAAGGCATCGGGACCCGGCACAACAGCGCAATAATTACTCGGGAACCAACCGCGAACATCTCCAATAACACCGTCCCACCAACCAGTTTCCAATTGGTTTAATACTTGTATAATGTCTCCTTGGCGGAAGCTCAAACTTGTGTGATCGTCTGATGTATAGTCGTAAAGCGCCTTGACGTACAAACCCGGCGGTGCTTCAATTGGGGACTGGTAGCCTGAGATTGATAAGTCAATTACTATCATTAATCTTTCAATAAGGGTTGCTATACCTTCTTCAATCACTACGCCTGCTTCGGTGCCCAGGTGGCCGTCGGTCTCATGATTGTTCGACATGGCCACGGCCGTAAACCTATGTCCCTGCTGCGAAAGCCTGATACAAATGCGATCCCATGTACGTCAAGAAGTTATTCGAGTTGAACGGAGATATCGAGAGAAGCCCAAAACGATTGAGAGCGGCACGTGAACAATTCAATTGTGACGAATCAGGCGAGAGCTCATGATTTGTATCCTTTAAGCGCTTTAGAACACGCCTAGCCCTTAACATCTACTCAAACATATTGTAGGTAGGAAACGTCGTGGTCTCACGAGCGACAACCGCGATTTGGGTGGCTTTTGTCTGGTCCAAACTGTCCACTGGGGGGCGAGTTCGGCGGGAGAGACGACAGGGACAGTTCGTTGTGAGAAAGACGGAGGAGATTGTGGGGACGAAAAGTTAGAGATGGGATCAGGGTACCAATGAAGCGAGTGTCAGGCAATGGAGGTGATCCCCGGAAGTTATTGCTGGACGAGCAGTGGCAAAGGAGAGGTAGTTAGAGATCCAGGATGAAGTGAATGGGCAGCTGGCCAGTTAGTTATCGGCTAGCAGTCAGAAGCGTCCGAGTGCTGGAAAGGGAGTTCGGATCGAGAGGAACAGAGTCGTTCGCGGTGCCACGGGCTGGAGCGAGAGGTGAGAGGGGGAGATGAGGTTGTTACATAACACCAAGGTGAGTTACTAAGCCCACCTTAGCCCGTTTACGGCTGTTTGACTAGGCGCTTGGTTTCAACCCGCTTGGTGTTTCTAGGCTTCGCCAACCTGCATCCTCATATGACGACCGAAGCTGAGCAGAGTTGGCCTACTCGTTTCGATGTTGGCCTTTAGCGCGGATGCTTCAATTATTCGGCTAGTGCTACGAGTGCTCCGGTCCCAGTTTCGATGCTGTGTAGCAGAGGTAAAGGGAGTCAAGTTGTCAACCCTTGCCGGCCATGTTCCAATTGAGTTCCCAAACGTTCTTTTTCCCATGAGATTGTCCAGGGTGTCAAGGCTAATCCCTGTTCTCGTTGAAATGAGCCTTGCGCTGCAAGCATTCTGACCCATCTGATCTTCCGGCCAGGCTCCACCTCAAAGTATTTGCTTTCCCCAGAAGAATCTCGACTGCAAAGGAATCAAAAGAAGGATGACATTTCGGTCTCCCAGAGGGCCAGAGTACTGCCATTATTTATAGGGCGGCCTTGCGTCCGAACAGCATGAGCCGTGCGCCTGGAGCCGGAAGTCCCCGGCAGCTGGAATCACCTTTGAAAAAGGGCGAAGCGACCTGGGAGGCTGTCTCCTTTGGTTGGGATTCAAACAGGATTCACACTGAACCGTTCCGTTGGAATGCTGTCAGCAATCAGAATAGGACTTGGGTTTCTTCCCGTTCCATGAGACTTTGTTTCCATCACGGCTTTCTGAGCGTTCGACAACTTATGGCAACCAAGACTACATGATGCAACTTTGCTCTCTTTGCTCTTCCTCTATTGAGTGAGCAAGTTAAATACTGGTGATATTGAAAAAGGAGTTGGTCTCAACATGGGGTTCTCCTGTTAATTTTAAGCTGTCTGTGCCCCCGCCAGGGAGATGGTTTTCAGGGAGCAGAGAATGCACTCCCGGTGCTCAAGCCTCCAGGTCAGCCCAGCTAATTACCCGTTTTGTCAAGGAATTTCAAAATACAAGGTTTCTCACACGTGTGTGTTTCTCTGATTTCGTCCATACCGTCAGTCGATTCGTGGAGATGGCTACGTCAAGTTATCATACCCACAGGCTGACCTGTTTAGGGACAACTGGTTCTTCCATCACAGAAGTACGCCTAACACGCTCTGGAGTCTCATTTTCCGCCTTGTGCCCAACACGACCATCACCTTGGTTGTGGTCGAGATGTTTTGACTTGAGAAGAATCTCTTGGCTACTCATGTTCAAATTTAGATAGCCCATTGGGCAACATTCATGCCAGATGTCATGCCACTCATCAACTTCTCTTCAATCTGCTAAAAAATCTGTCTCCGCCATGGCAACATACTACAAACCAAGCACATATCTGCAAAGCAAAAAGCTCTAACAGACCCCCCTGATTCATAGGTTTTCAGTGGAGGATGCCTAACTTGCAGCGACACTTGTTTTTCCCAAGTTGTGGTTGCAGATCATAATCTATCTATAATTAAAAGAACTGCGAGCCACCTCCAACATTCAAACAAATACAAAGCCACCATTAATCCCTGGGATTGAGTAAGAATGGTAATGCAGGTGTGGAACAACATGGCAAATGAGAGAGCAGGCATCGAAATGCCCACGGCGCAGAACTTAAAGAGCAGGCCTTCCACAGGACCACAGCACACTTCATAGCGGATTTTACTCGATTATATCAGCTTACCATGTTTGTTAGTAAAAGCAAATATGACGCTCATGTCTAAAGGAGAATAAAAAAGACCATCAAAGGGAGTATGCTTTGTTCCTGCAAGTTACATAAACAAGGGGAGAAGAGATAATTACGTTGACTCTCACCAAAGATTCTACAGAACCTTGCATGGAGGGGCGTGCAAATTTGTCTTAAAAATAGCCCACGGAGCAGATCGTGTGAATTTGGTCAGCAAGTTAACGAGTTCGCCAGCCAGCCATTTATTTGCTCCCTCACCTTCGATTTCCCAGGAATTAAGAGTCTCCGGCGTTTCAGACACACCGTCGAAGAGGAAATCCTTCTAAAAGATTTTTTCCCCCATGCAAGGTCCTTTGCTTTTTTCCTTTTTTCAGTCCTCCAAAACAATTTATTTTAAAATGTGATTCGTGCGCGAGGACAGCTTTGGAGGAGAGAAAATTGACAGGGTTCACCCCACTTGCAACCTCACGGCCCGAGCCAGAGCGGAGAGGTTCCAGGGATCGATTTCAACCCAAGATGCAACGGAGAGACGAAGCGATTATAAGACGAAGACGACGAGATGGTGGAAAGATGTGCATTTATCCTCTTCGAATTTTGGAGGGGCAGCTGTCTCTGAAAATAGCGGTCTTCTTTGAAGAAAAACAAAGGTGGGATCCAGCCCGGGCGAGAAACTTCGCAGCACGCCAAGGCGCGATCGATCTGGATTCAACTCTTCCAATGAATTCGAGACGGGGAACACGAATCCTCGTCTTCTTCCACAGTTTGTAAGTGAGCTGAGGTAAAATTTTTGGTGGAGAATTCTATTTGTCGGAAACTCATTATTGGCGGCGAAGCGCAACAAGTCATCAACTCAGCGGTCTTCAAAGAAAGTTACGGTCAATGTGTTTATCAAAGAATCATGTCCTGGTAGATATTTGATGTGTGTGCATGCGGACAGGATTCGATGGGTCGATGTTCGCGGTAAATGTGATTTCACAAATGACAGATCTGCATCCTCCTCGGGATGCAAGGGCAACAACGGAATCATACATGTTAGTCTCAAATCTGTTTCTGATGGATGGGCTCCCAACGCTTTCATAGGGAGAAAACGATCGTCGAGAGAAGAGTCGGTCTACTGGGTCAACCTGGATGAACCTTGATACTGCTTCAGTGAGCAGCCCTTAGGTCCGGATGCATGAAAATCCTGAATCTCTCAGCGTTGCCGGCGAAATCCTTGGAGGGCCTGGCATAGCTTCAGGAGTGCTAGCGGTGTTCCGAAGTTCAAATCAACGGTTGGCTACTGTCGTCGGAGCACCTTGGGAACCACGTCCTTCCATACGTGACGGGTCGGAAGGAGTCAACAAAATGGCGAACAACGTGGCTGGTTAGGTTTTTAGTTTGCAGTGTGGGCGTCGCGGGCTTTTGCGCGGGAACAAAATTCAGGTTCGAGCTCCAGGCGGTGAAATGATTGCTAGAATCGTTGAACTGTGGGTCTGACAACAACGGTGAAGAGGATCGAGGAAAGCATAGTTTCGCGTTCATCAACCCGCTTGAGCATTTCCAACGGTTCACTCGTTGACCCGTGAGCTGTTGTGAGTGGCATCGCGTAGTGGAGTTTTCAGAGAGGGCTTCGATGTGTTTTTTCGACCATAGGCATGATGTTCTAGGTCATTGACCAGCAAGATCTTCAACTGTCATTAACTTTCTTTTAACATGCTTTAGCACGAAGGAAGCGGGAGTGTAGACGGGAAGCCAAATCTGAAGCACTTGGGCTCTCGCCTTGGACCTTGGTGCGCACAAGACCTCTTGGTGTGATTCCAGTACGCCGTAACCCTGCTGTGAGATATCACACGACGGACGACATGAAATCTGTCGTGGCTCGACCGATATCGCTAGTTTGGCAACCACAAGCTTAATAAGCGCGCTGGTGACGCTCGACTTCTCGCTCTGCTGGAAATAGTGAGGCGGCCAGTCCGATCCAGGAGTGGTACGCTAATCGTCACGAAGGCGGATGGCTGCCATGGAAACCAACATGACCGCTCAGAAACAACCTTCTCCAGTGTCGACGTGGGGCAATGAAGGCCAATCTCCCCGCCATCAAGGCTTTTCCAGCAGAACTGGCAGCAAGATGGGAAACCGATCCAGGAGTCTCTCGATGGGGAGTCAAGACTGCGACTATCTTGCCCATTCAGCAGCAGGGAGCGGATGCCAAGTGGCAAAGTCAGGGACAGCAAGGTCAACCCGGTAATACCAGATGGCACCCAGGGAAAACACCGTCAGAGACGCCAAGCAAGGTTGATTACCGCGTGTGTATGGAATTGGCGAATCATAATGTTCGGTCTGGCCCTAATACACCGGGTTTCGGTATCTTGTATTTCAAGCCTTGTCCCACCTGCAGCAGTGGTGAGCTTCCCCCCCTCCCCGCCCCCTCGTCGGCCCAAGACTCTCAGTGAGCAGAGTGGGCTTGGTGGGGAAGGGAACAGCATCCCGGGCTTGAACCCGCCGTCTCGTACCGAGTATTTTATTCTTCTTGGACGGAACCACCGGTCCTTGACTGGCTGGAACGGACAGCGTGCGCTCAAATAATAATAACCCCGCAAACCAGCCCTAGGGAGTGTGGCCTTGACCATAGCCCGAGGCGGTTGAGGGCTCAAAATCATCGTTTTGATCCAGAGATCCGGGATGGCACATTCAGCGCACGGCTGGTTGCAATCAACACGGTCTCTGGATAAAGAAAAGCCCTTTGAGAACCCAGTTGGTGGGCTCGGCTCCTCTGCAAATTGATGAACGCCCGTAACGTTACAGATACGGAATACCAAAAGATGAAATATAGCGATGGGTAATTTCCTATTGGGTGTCACTGTGTGTGCTTCGGCCGGCATGGACGGAGCGAAGGTCTTGTAATTGGAGGGGTTGGGTTGGTGCGTCGGTATGGCCAATACGAAGGCATAACAAGCCATTATTACAAGGGGCCCAAGTAATTTGGCGGTATGGCCCGTGGATGCTGCCCAGCGGTGCGTGGCCCCAGTCTTTCGCACAAATCGAACCGCCCCATCTGCGCACTTTCGTGACCCTGCCCCTCGCTCCCCTCTTTTGGCTCCCCTCGCTTACTGCCACTACTGCCACGTCTACATCACCTTCGTCTCTCCCACTTCCACATCTCCCATTATTTTTTCCACACTCCTCCTCCTCTCCGTCCAGTTCTCCCGCGGTCTTCACGGATTCAACATTTGTGCCCTTACTCCTCCATCATTCCTCCCCATCATCTTCTCTTATTAATTGCCTCTTTACTCTGTGATATTTCTATTGCTCCATCCTTCCCCTTCAAATGCATCTTTGAATTTGTTATCCTTCGATCCGCCCGTGGCCGGTCCCCTTTCTGACTTTGACTTACAACACTCATTTCCCCCCGCCCAAGGAATGAACTATTTCGAATCCATACCTCTCCCATCACTATACTCCTCACAGTCGCAGCGTGCGAGCGCAGACCAGTCGATAGCCCCTCCGAAATCCATACCCAGGCTTTTCGCGAGTTGATCTGCGTTCTCGTCCTCTGCTTCTGATGGCTCCCACCACCTCGGCCTCGGCCAAGAAGCCTGCAGCGGCTCCTGAGCGCAAATACAAATGCCAGTTCTGCAATCGTGCGTTTAGTCGGAGCGAACACCGCAGTAGACACGAGCGCTCCCGTGAGTTGACACCCTTCCGCATCCCCTTTGTCGCCCATCTGCCCAAGCTGCCCAACCACAAAGTCCCGTGAGCGTCCTTCTCGCTAATGCTTAATCTTCTCTTATAGACACGAAAGAGCGTCCGTTCAAGTGCTTAAAGTGCCGAAGCACATTTGTTCGACGAGATCTGTTGCTCCGTCATGACCGCACCGTCCACGCAAAGGATGGAGGTATACCTTTAGTAGCAGAGGGCCGCCGACGTGGACAAAAAGCAGCCAACAATGCGTCGAATTCGAACTCGAATTCGACCCCTGCAGCAGCTCCGGCAACTACAGGAGGGTCGTCAAAACCTTCGATCACCATTGACCCAGCAGCTCTGGAACAAATTGAAGCAAGCAGCGATGGCATGGTTGATCTTGAAACGGCAGCCATGTTGATGACGGATTTTCAACACAAGGCCGCGGCGACGGCATCTCAAGGCCTTAGTGGAGATGTTACCGATCCGACCTACTCCTCTGATCATGGTGTGGTGCTTGATTCCTCCCGTGGGGGTATTTACCAGGAAATGCAACGTTACCCCAGATGTCCCTGGGATACTTTCATGAGCCCGTCCGAAGTCAAGCCGCACTCAATCGCGCAGGATACAAAGCAGCGATTTTCGGTGTCACATAGCCACCAGAGCCAGCTCGCGTCCTCAATTGAACGAAACACCGTAGCGTCGGAACCCTTGGGACATGTATTGCACCCCTTGGTCAGCTCCCTCCCGGTATCAGGAAACTCCACTCCAAACGCTCTTTCGCCTTACCCGTCAATGACTGGCCCTGTGTCTCCGGTAAATTATCGTCGCTCTCCTGGGCCAAGCCAGATTCTAACCCAGCCGAAGCCGCCTCAAATCTCGAGCGATCAGGAGAGGGAAATCATCACTGAACGAGTTCAGGCAAGTGATGCTCTTGGAGCGCTACCAGATACATTCCAGCTTCCAACAACCGCGGCCATGAATCGGTACCTGTCGACATATTTCAACATGTACCATCACCACCTCCCTTTCTTACACCAGGGAACTTTCTCACCAAAGGATGTATCTTCACCACTGTTGCTTGCTGTTTTATCCATAGGTGCATTGTATACTTTTGAAAAGGAGCCTGCTTTCATGCTGCATATTGGGTCGAAAGTGCTTGTCAATCAGTTCCTGCAACATAAGGAGAATTTCGACTCCAGGAAATGTCCATTGTGGGCCATGCAGAGTACATTACTCAACATGATTTTCGAAAGTTGGAGCGGCGATCCCAAAGGCCTCGAATGGACATGCTCAATAAAGAGTTTGCTTGCCAACGTGAGCCCATCCCGTGGTATTTTATGAAGGCATAAACTGACTCTTTATCTAGATGGTTGCGGGCAATCGGTATCAATTGAAGCTTCGCATCGATGCACGTGGAGACAACCTTCCCACTCACGAAGAATGGATAGAAGACGAAGGCTGCCGACGTACATACTATGCCGTTTACGTCTTCTTCGGCATGTTAACGCTCACATTTAACCACACGCCAGCGATGAGCTTCGACGAGTTCGACACGCTAGAGCTTCCGTCTTCGGAATCGATGTGGAATCTTGAAGTCTCGGATAGTTATACGTGGCGCCGTAACCTCGCCGCGTACCGTACGGTATCGTCGCGAGAAGCACACGATAGCTTGTTCCGTGGCGAAACTGTCAGGTATAGTGCGTTCGCAACACGTATTTTGATCAATGCTTTGTTCCTGGAGGTGTGGTATCACAAGCGCAGCATCGAAGCCCTACAAGACGTAGTTATGGGCTACAAGCTTCGCCTTGCGCTTGACACCTGGGAGAATTCACTTGATATTTGCGAACCAGAAACCATCGTTGTCCCGGTCAGTACCCCTCAGAAGGGCCATCCTTTAATTTTCAATTCGATGGCTGTTTATCGCAATACTCGAGCTCGTCTGGAAGTCGATTTGAAATCAATTCAAGAAGCGCTGCGATACCACTCATCGTATGAGGTTGCTGCTGCCATGACTGTGGCCCGTGATAAGGTTAAGCGATCCCAGGAAATGAACAAGGTCATCCAGCAATGTTTTGAATGCATTGAAATAGCTGCCATTCAAGGCCTCAATTGGGTTGCCACAGCTTCCGCGACAAATTGGAGCGTGGAGCATCCGCTGTGTGGTATGGACTTAATGGTCACCTTAAGCCTGTGGCTCTATCGCCTGGAACATGACGAAGAGCCCGCAAGCGATGGTGAACTCGTTCTCTACAACAAGATACGGACCCTATTTAGCAATGATTCTGGCGAGACATACGGAGCTCAACTCTGCTCGACTGTTGCGAGGGTGTGGGGAAAT